AACAGCTCTGCTCCAGTAAAGCAGAGTTTATTGTGTCACCGCCTCTGGGTGTGTTTTCCTGTGAAGGCCAGAAATAAAGCACTAGTACATGTCTGTTCCTTTTTCTCCCCCCAGGAGGATGGCAACTCTCTCATTAATACTAAAGACAAGTTTAAATATTCTTTAGCTGATAGCTGATTTGCCACATGCTTTGTTCGGTACAAAGAAGGATTCTTTTGGGGGCCTTAGCACTGAGCTGACGGAAAGGCCCCGACTTGACCTCCCACTGGCTGCAGGATGCAGGGCACATCTTGGCCTCTCTGCAGCCTCCTTCCTCCTCTGCACATCCTCTCTGGTCCCGTTCAGCCAGAAATTCTCTTCCTCCTCTACATATAATTTCCCCATTCCATACTTTCTTAGGTGTAAAACATGTATCATTGTCTAGGTCATACCTTATCCTATGTCTATCCTTGACCAGCGTGCATAGTAGGTTGTGCACAAGCTCTCCACTGGGTCAAAGAGGGGGATGATGTGAAGGGGCAAATTGTAAGTCCCAAGAGTAGTCCAGGGTCCTTTGCACAGACATGCTGCTTTTGGCTAACACAGTGTTTTATAAAGTGCTGAATCTGAATGCCTTTCAAAGGGAAAAGCACTCCCCAGTTGGCCATGGGTCCCACCGCAACCCATGATCTTATACACCTGGCATTTCACCTGTTTCTGTTACATGTCTGGCCTCTGAAGACACTTACATTTACACCAGGTAGAAGTTCAGATCTTCAGATTGCGATCAGGGGTTGGACAATGTCCAATAAAGGACCAGACAGTAAATATTCTAGACCATGTAGGCCACACGATCTCTGTCGCAACTACTCAACCCCGCTGTTGTAGTGGAAGCACAGCTGTAGACAACATGTGAGCAAATGAGCCAAGGCTGTGTCCCAGTACAACTTTGTGTGTGGACGTGAACAGTTGAACCTCATAGAGCTTTCTCCTGTCCCACAATATTATTCTTCTCTTGATTTTTTTCCCAACCATTTGGTAAAAAGCAAATCTAAGAATGGTATTTATACCATTCTTAGCTCGTGGACTTGACAAAAAGAGACAGCAGATCACATTTGGCTGTTGGCTGTAGTTTGCCAGCCGTTGATTAAGTGCATTGTTCCAAAGTTTCTAATGCTTTTCCAAAGGATCTAAGAAGACTCAAAATGATCCTGGAGCTTTTACAAGAGCAGCTCACTTCCAAGCATTTTTAAAAAATACTTGGAAACTGTAAACTTGAATTATACAAGTTATATGAGTTGAACAAAGGCCACTACAGACTCTGGTTTGCGCTGGGCTCTGTGGGTGGTCCTGTCTTCTCTGGAACACTCAGGGATAAGAATGCCACGTCAGTGACAGCATCTGGGTGAGACGCAGTGAGAACAAACACATGAGGGTAACTCTTGTGGGGCAGTGAAGAGACTGTAGCCATAAGCTAGCTCCATTGAAAGTGAATTCAGTGGGAATGAACCCTGATTACACTGGAAATAGATGTAAATTACGGGCATCCATACTTAATGGTTCTCCAGTGCATACAGCTGATTCAAACTTCATAACAGTTTTCCAGCCACTATCACTTCCATAAAACCATCTTCCACTCAACAGAGGGACTGGCTTACTTCCTTGATAATCCTAGCACACAGCAGAGTGGTCTTCTGATCTCCTTTTTTCCCCACAGTGGAGATAGATTCATTCAAATAAATTAACCTCTCATGACTCACTTGAAAGAAACATGTGCCAGTGAGTAAGCTAAACCGCATTACCACTGCTCCAAGAAAACCATGTCTGATGAGTTTTTGTCCTAACAAGCACCGAGAAAACGTGGCTTTTCCTTTCTGTCACTTTCCTCATCACAAAATCACGAAGCAGTGGAGAGGGGCTCCAATAAGGACAGGGCAGAGAGGGGGGTTTTCGTTTCTTTTGTTTTGGTTTTACAACTTATCACTATGAATTCTGACCCTTTATTATAGATAGGTAGATAGATAGATAGATATAGATACAGATTTTTTAACAGAACATGTTTAAAAGAAACATTTCTCCTGTAGATGCATCATCGGAGTTAGAGAGGATTTTGCTGCAGTCCAATTCTGGAATAGCCCAGAAGTCTTGCCCAATGATCCGGGAACTTCTGAGCAGGCTTTGGTCATGTGAGCAACCTGGAGGATGAGCAGATTCAACAAACACACATACAGAGGGAGAGAGGGAGGGAAAGTGAAAGCATTTACTAAATGCTTGGCAGCACAAGTAGCACCAAAGTCAGATGTGACATTGTCTTTGCCCTGGGAAGCTCAGCCTTGTTGGGCTGCGACAACCTGCATTTCAGCTTTTGCTTAGAGTTCTGCTGAACTGGGTTAAAATGCTATTTAATTCAACTAAAGTGGCGAAGTACAGTTTTCAACTCCACGTCGTCATTTTTCAGAGAGTTCAGTTTGAAGCTCTTTGTTTTTTTTTTCTTTTTGTCCCTACCAGAGACAGCGAGCATCCTCATGAATTATTAACAATAGCACTCCTCCACCTCAGGTCGGGCTCAACATTTACCGGCTTGCTCTTGCTTCTTGCTGCCGTGGCTTTTCAGCACAGAGCTCAGTGAGAATTTATACCTAAACCCTCATACAGCAAGTTCAGCTACAGTCATTTCCCCTTTGCAGTTTTGCTTTCTGCCGTTTTAGTTACCCGCAGCCAACAGGCAGTCTGGCAATAGTAAATGGAAAATTCCGGAAATAAAGAATTCGTAAGTTGTAAATCCTGTGCCGTTCTGGGTAGCGTGTTGAACATTCTGCTGTTTGCATCATTCCGCCTGCGGCCTGAATCATCCCTTTGTCCAGTGCATCCACGCTGTACGCGCTCCACGCCTGCCAGTCACTTGTGGCCATGGCAGTTCGCAAAGACTGTCACAGGATCAGGGAGGGCTGCGCGTAACCCTTATTTTACCTAATCCTGGCCCCCAAAGTGCAAAAACAGTGATGTTGGCAATTCAGATACGCTGGAGAGAAGCCATAAAGAGTATGTACGGGAAAAAAAACATAGTACGTATAGAATTTGGTACTGTTTGTGGTTTCAGGCACATATCCCTGTGGATAAGGGAGGACTACTGTATGCAGATTCATTTTGCCCACCTTGGGTTTCCCATGAGAACAAGTATGTTGAAGAGGTTGTGCTTAGAGAACATTGCTCTGCTTAGAGAACAGCAGATTAAACCTTAGTCATTCTAGGTTGTTATGCAGGTGATAGAGGCTTTGTTTTGTTGTTATCATTATTTCCACATCTCTGGCACAGGTGAGGAGGAGCTGGGAAAAAGAAAGAGTAACTTTTGGATGATTCAGTCGCACCACGCTGGACAGCTCTTAGCCTTTGGAGTCTCTCCCTGGGTTCCAGGAAGGTGGGGCCAGGAGTGAGAAAATATTCAGGCCTCCCAGCTACCAAAGTTGTGTCTGGAAAGGTCTGTGGAAGCCAGGAGGTCGTGTGCCCTGTGTCTGTGAAGCAGCCACGTGGGGCTGTGCTTGGATCAGTGTGAAGAGCAGGCTGGCCCTCGGAGCTGCGGGGCGGCGGGCACTTTGCAGAGGTGCAGGCGAGACCCTCACCTTCAACAGCTCATTCTGCCTCTCTGCTTGTATGTGGCCCCCAAATGTGGACACGTTCCCTCCTCAGCCATTCTGGGGGTCGGAGGCCCCTGATGCTGGCCTGATCACGTCTGGAAGGCAGGATTGAGCAACATTTTAAATGGGGCACAGACAGTAATGTGAACTTGAGGAAAGCAGCTGGAATAGGGAGGGATGTGGAACCACTGTTGAGTATTATGCCTGTTTTCTCATCAGTACAAAGGGCCCCCTCCCTGGGGTGTCTTGTGAGATTTCAATGAGGTAATGCTTTTGACTCTTTATCTGCACTTAGGTTATTATTTTAGAATAAAGTTGGTTCTTCTTTTATGAGAAAAATGGAAAAAACTCCGATTGTTTAGCCTAGACAAGGAAAGATGAGAGGAACATATGTCAGCTGTCTTCAGATATTTAAAGGATTAGTGTGTGGCAGAGGGAACAAACTTATCTTTAGTGTGAAGACAATATGACTTAGAACATGGCCTTCACAGGAAGGCAGATGTTGCATCAATGAGTGTATGTGACAGAGGTGCTGAGGAACGCACAGGCTTTCTCATCAGGCACGGGGCTCCCAGTCACCAGACTTGCTCAGACAGCAGCTGGGTGGCCGCAGCACTTGGCGCTTGAGGGTTCATGCCTGTTCCAGGTGGGAGGTTAGTTGGACCACATTCCTCAGTTCTCTACCACCTCTACGACGCCAGGAAATTCAGCAAAGGCCTGAGTTTTTTGACTTCTCTGGGAGAATTCACAAAACCAGCAACTGTGTAGAATAAAACCAGAACAAATAATTTCCCAGGCTCTTGGGGATCCATTGGGTATGAAATAGCAAGCTCATTCACTTAGAGAAGATGATTCTCAGCAATTTCTTCATGGTATTAGTTTGCTAGGGCTGCCATAACAAAGGACCACAGACTGGGGTGGCTGAAACAACAGAAATTTATTCCTCACAGTTTTGGAAGCTAGACATTCAAGATTAAGACGTTTGACAGAGACGGTTCCTTCTGAGGCTTCTCTCCTTGGCTTAGAGATGGCTGCCTTCTCCCAGCCTCTTTACATGACCTTTCCTCTCTGTGTCTATTCCTGATCTCCTTTTATAAGGACACGGGTCATGGATTAGGGCCCGGCCTCATGACCTCATTTAGCCTCAACCATCTCTTTGAAGACCTTATCTCCACATGCAGCCACATTCTCAGGAACTGGAGGTTAGGACTTCAACATACAAATGGCGGGGTGGGGGGCGGGGGTGTGTGGCCATAATTCAGCCCCTAACACTCACATACAAAGGATTTACCCTTTGAGTCATACGGCTTGTTGACCATGACCAGCCTTCAGAAGTTTTGTTGCGTGTTCTTTAAACTGTATCCTGTCTTGATTCCCTTCTCTTAGGTGAACGGCCCTTTCCCTGCACGTGGCCAGACTGCCTTAAAAAGTTCTCCCGCTCAGATGAGCTGACCCGCCACTACCGGACCCACACTGGGGAAAAGCAGTTCCGCTGTCCGCTCTGTGAGAAGCGCTTCATGAGGAGCGACCACCTCACAAAGCACGCCCGGCGTCACACCGAGTTCCACCCTAGTATGATCAAGCGATCCAAAAAGGCGCTGGCCAATCCTTTGTGAGGTGCTACCCACAGAAGCCAGGGAGGGACGGACCCGGAAAGACGAAACTACTCCCAGCAAAAAGACAGACATGCAAATGAAGCCCCAGAAGAGGCCTGCCAGCACAGGAAGCCCTATTCTTTGGTCAATATTTGAATTTTCCTCTCCCTGCATTGTTTTTAAAAAAAGCACATTGTAGCCCAAGATCAAAGTCCACACTTGGTCCCCTTGCAGAGGCAACTCTGAACCATCTCTGAATTTTGGAGAGAAGGCAAATGCTTTTTATTTTTCCCCTTTATGTTTGGGGGGTGGGGGGCAGGGGAGCTGGGTAGAGGGAGAGGGGTAAGGCCAAGACTGGGGTAGAATTTTCCAGATTAAACACTGGTGTACATAGTCTGACTGGGTGAGTTGACTGGCATCACACGGTGATTCCGGGCCCTTTCTGCTTGCTGTCTCTCAGAACTGTTTTCGTACCTTTTAATGTAATGACGAGTGTGCTTCGGTTTCTTTAGCAAAACCACTCTCTTGAATCACGTTAACTTTTGAGATTAAAAAAAAAAATAACGCCATAGCACAGCTGTCTTTATGCAAGCAAGAGCACATCTCCTCCAGCATGACCTGTCATCTAAAGACTTGAAAACAAAAAAAGTTACTTATAGTCAATGGGTAAGCAGTCTGAATTTATACTAATCATGACAAACCTTGGAAAGGTTACACTAAGTACAGAACTTTTAAACCTTGCTTTGTATGAATTGTACTTTTTGAACATAAGCTGCACTTTAATTTGTAATGCAGAGGATGAATAAGTTAAGTTCATGCTTTAAGGATAGAAACAGACATTCTTTTTGGAACCACATTATAATCTGCTTATTTTACAGTATACACGTTTCCCTAAGAAATCAATAGATGTGAGGGCAGAATATATGCAACAGATGCTGAAGGAGAAGGAGGGTAGTTTTTTTTGTTTTTTGTTTTAATTTAAAAAGAACAAACAGAATTTTGACTCTATTAACTTTCCAAATTTTCCTATTCTTTTAGTTAATATCACCTTATTGTACCATAATGCCACGAAGGGAGAGAGGGCTTTGACTCTGTTGGGTTTTATTTGAATGGGTGCGTAATGGTAGACAGCTCTGGAAACACCTATTTTGGGCGGGGGAAAAGGTTTGTTGGTCTCCTTCCCACGTTCCTACAAAACTCCCACTAACAGGTGCAAGATTTATGTAAAATGAAAAGGGAGCTGAACTGTGAAAAGAAAAATATACCCCTAAAAGCAGTGAGTGCCAAGGGAAATACCACGTTGACTTCAGGGGAGACTGCAAAGTCATCCCTTTTGGAAAACAAAGGCACATGGCATGCATACGAACGAAAACACGTCACTGTAGCTTTTACATCAGAAGCCTCACCACTATGTATCTTGTATCCAGGTGTCTACAATGGCCTAAACCACTACACCCATAACATGCCATTTGCCTGAAAACTTCATCTTGGCCTTCATGTGGTCAGAAAAAGTAAGCTGAGTTTTCATAGTGAAGAAGAAACCTCAGACGGGGGAGTCAGCAGTGATTGTGGGGAAATGTTTACATTTTTTTTCTCTTCAGAAATAACGCTTTCTGACCATTTTATCTGATAATTAAACAGGGAGCTCTGGTGCACTCTGGTTTGCACACGTGCTGTAAGATGTGTTGTGTAAACCTAGGGCACCTCCCTCGCAGTGAAGTCGTTATTTCAGCTGATACGGGCTCGTTTCCAGTTCAGAACCAGTGTGGGCTCCTGCAGCAGGCACGGGTCACAGCTGACTCCTACTTCCAGTACAATAGCCATCACTAGCACGGTGTTTTTTGTTTTTTTCTTTTTGTTTTGTTTAACCAACGTAGTTGTATTAGTAGTTCTATAAAGAGAACTGCTTTTAACATTTAGGGACTGGGAGCAGTCCATGGAATAAAACGGAAAGTGTTTTCTCGTGGGAAAACATGTCAGGAAAAATAAAGAACACTTTCTACCTCTGTTTCAGATTTTTGAAACGCTTGTTTTAAACCAAATTTTAATTTCTGTGTCCAAAATAAGTTCTAAGGACATCTGTTCTTCCATACGAAATAGGTTAGGCTGCCTATTTCTTGCTGAACTCATGGAATGGTTCTGCTTGTGATCCTCTGCACGCGGCCTTTTAGTGAGCGAGGAGTTTGGGGTTGCCTAGCAACCCACTAACTTGTACAAACTCATCTTTCCCTCACAGAAAGCAACGAAGGAAAACCAGGCAAAGTCAGTGAAAGACAATCTTTGTAGTTTCAGGAGTAAATCTGTATGTGGCTTTTGTCCAGCACGTAGATGGATGTGAATGCAGCAACTTGTTTTTTAAAAAAATGCACAATTTACTTCCCCCCAGAAGTTGCTCCTTGCCTTTTCAAGTTGTTGACGAACACACATTTGATATTCTATTATATGTTATAGTAATGTAACGTATAAACTCAAGGCTTTTTATTCTTTGTGATAAATCCTGTTTTCCAATGTCACAAAACAGGAACCAGCATTCTAATTAGATTACTACATTAAGATATGGTTCAACTAGGACTACTAGAGTTCATTGAACACTAAAACTATGAAACAATTACTTTTTATATTAAAAAGACCATGGATTTAACTTATAAAAATCCAAATGCAGGATAGTAATTTTTGTTTACTTTTTTAACCAAACTGAATTTTTTTGAAAGACTGTTGCAGGTGTTTAAAAAAGAAAGAAAAGTTGTTTTATCTAATACTGTAAGTAGTTGTCATATTCTGGAAAATTTAATAGTTTTAGAGTTAAGATAACTCCTCTCCTTGGTTAGGGAAGAAGAAAGCCCTTCACCACTGTGGAATGATGCCCTGGCTTTAAGGTCTGTCTTTACATCATGCTTCTTTTGAGACTCATATTTGGTAGTTATAATTACAGAAACTGATTAGTTGTAAGTTTGCTGATTTAGCACAGTACTCATCACTCTGGATAGATTGATATGTTCCTTCACAACAGGTGAATGATCTGTAACACTGTAAGATACTGATCTTTACAACTGTTTAATCAGTTTTATTTTTGTACAGTATTAGTGACCTAAGTTATTTTGCTGTCCTGTTTTTGTAAATCAAATGAAATTATAATAGAGGATTCTGACAGTAGGTATTTTGTACATATGTATATATGTTGTCCAAATAAAAATAATAAAAATGATAAAGATTTCGTTGTTCCTGCCATTACGTGTTTTAATGAGGGCCTATTTTGCCGTAGGGGCCACTTTAACCTCTGCTCACAGGATTTTATGAGGATGCAAAGGTGATTTTATTACTCTATGCTTTTCAACATGTGCAATATTTGTATAGATCTGTGTGTATTTACTATTCACAGATCTCTGAAGCAGTAGGTAGAATGGAGGCTGCTTGAAACCACTGTATAATCCAGGAGGGGAATATTTATATTTTCAGGTAAATCACTAAAAGAGGTTTGTAAAGCTCATAGTAAGCCAGCGTGTGGTGGGAACTGATCAGAAAATGCTAGAGACTAGCTTGTGCTTCTGAGACATGATATTGTTAGGAACACCCAGGTGGAGGTGTCAAAGGCAGGGCAGTGGAACCATTAAACTGAGTGAAGATGAACACCAAAGTGTGTGGTATGTGTGTAATTTATATAAATATATACTCACTACCTATTGCTTATTAAATCCTATTGTATGCTCATCATGGTACCAAGCATTTAAGCCTTTTCTCTCATTTAATCCTTAACAGCAGCTCTGTACAGCTTGTAGAGCAGACACTGTTGTTATCCACATATTTTGGATGAAAAACTTGAGGGTCACATAACTTGCTGAAAGACATGTATCAGGTGGTGTAGACAGTATTTAAATCTGGATCTGCTGACTCCAAATCTCCGTCTTTTTATGTCTACATCCAGGTAGCACTGGATTAACTGAGCATCATTTTCATTTGATCCATTTCATTGAGCACCTGTTAGTGCCAGGCATTCTTGGCACCAAGGACACAAAGGTGAAAAAAAAAAAAAAGCTCTCTGCAGTCAAGGCCCTTGTTTATGTGTTAGTGAGTGGGGACACACAAGTAAATTATTCATATAGTTTTAGATAGTGATGAGCACTTTGATCAAAATGGAGTCAGGTGACTTGGATGATGGGAAAAGGCAACTTTAGGTTGAGTACCCAGATGGGACTTGAACCTCTGATCTGAGGCTTGGATGACATGGAGGAGTCAGGCCTGCAAAGGTGTGGAGGAAGTGAGGAGAGCCAGTGTAAGGAGTTTGGCAGGAATTCAGCCAGGGTTTTGGAGGAAATGAACGAAGGTGTGGTGGCTGGAATATAAACAGGACAAGAAGGGTGGGGGAGCTGGGGTGGTTGGCACAAGCTAGACTACAAGGACCTTGTATTGTAATACAAGGTCTTTCCAGAAAAAATACAACCATTGTTATATTAACAAGAACAGTTTATGCAGCATCAATGTAACCAGGCAATCAAGGAGAGTGGACTGGAATGCACATGTGTGAACTATGGCGACTTCATTGTACTAATCAGGATGGTAGACACCATTGAGTGAGCATGTGTACTGTGTGGCTGTCACATTCAAGATGACTGAGTGAATAGAGCAGTGTATCTGCATCAGATTTTGTGTTAAGTTTGAACATTCCACCATGGAGACTATTTGGATGATTCAGAAGGCTTTAGGGGGCAATGCAATGAGTGCAGCGCAAATGAAAGTGTGGCACAAACACTTCAAAGATGGTCAAGAATCTGTTAAAAGTGATCCATGTTCTGGAAGGCCTATAACAAGCAGAACACCTGAGAATATTGAACGTGTAGGGGCTGCAATCAGCAAAGATCAGTGACCAACAGTGAGAACTAGAAGCTGATGCAGATTCCAAAAACTACTATGTCCAAGATTTTGATGCAGGACCTTGGCATAAAATGTGCTGGTGCAAAATTCATTCAGAGCAGAAGCAAAAACGTGCTGTATTGCTGATGACTTGATTCAAACCACTACCAATGAACCAGATTTCCTTAAGGTCATAACTGGAGATGAATTGTGGGTCTATGGCCGTGATCTGGAAACAAAGGCCCAGTTGTCTCAATGATAGTCACCTGGCTCTCCACACCCGAAGAAGGCGCAGCAAAGTTGCAGCAAGATCAAGACCATGTTAACTGTGTGTTGTTTTTTTTTCATGGGAAAGTGTCCACCATGAGTATACCCCTCCAGGCCAAACAATAAGAAATACCACCTCAATGTTCTTTGTCAGCTGAGAGATGGAATACAATGAAAACAGCCGCGACTACGGGCAACTGGTTATTGGCAGCTTCCTCATGACAATGCACATGCTTATGCATCACAACTTGTGCAGTGTTTTTGGGCAAAACATCAAATCACTCAGATGACTCCGCCCCCTTATGGCCCAGAGTTGGCACCCTGTGACTTCTGGCTTTTCCCAAAACTAAAATCACCTTTGAAAGGGAAGAGATCTCAGACCATCAGTGAGATTCGGGGAAATTCAAGGCAGCTGATGGCAATTCCAACAAAGGATTTTGCAGTGTTTTGAACAGTGGCAGAGACACTGTGTGAGGTCCCAAGGTGCCTACTTTGAAGGGAACTGAGGCGTCATTGTCCTATGTACAATGTTTCTTGCATCATCTTCAATAAGTGTTTCTATTCATAGTACATGGATGGATACTTTCTGGACAAGCCTCATATTCATATATTTCAGCAAGGTCTGGGTGCTGGGTAAAAAATAGATTTTAGAAGGGTAAGAATAGAAGTTGAGAGACTAGCAAGGAGATGGCTGTATTTTCCCAGGCAAAAGATAGTGGTCATTTGGACCAGATTGTTAACAGTGGAGGTGGAAAGAAGCAAATAGTTCTAAAAATACATTGGGGGTGGAATCATTTGGATGTGCTGATGTTAGGACATCAAGGGCAAGAGCAGAAACAGGTCTTCGTTAATGCAGCTTGATGAGGTGCAGGATAAGAGATAGTTGGCGTGAAGGAAAAGTGGACTCATTTTGGACATGTTGAGGTTGATGTGCCTATCAGACGGCACATGAAAGTGTCAAGAAAACGATTCTATATGTTAATTTAGACCACAAAAAAACTGGTCTGGACTGGAGATTTGGAAGTCCAGTCATATCTGATAGTAATTGAAACCACAGAAGTGGCATCACCTGGGTTAGAATATAGATTGAAAGAGGAAGTGAGAGAGGAGAGGAAGGGAGAAAAGGAAGAGGAGGAAGTGACAGCAAGGTAGCTGAAGAATAAGAAGACAGAAGTCTTCCAGTCAAGATGGTCAGTAGGTACATATGGTACTCACACCCTCCCACAACTGCATTAAAGTTACCACTGAACTACAGCACAACCATCATTCAGAACTACCTGATATCTAGCTGAATGAAAGTCCTACAACTAAGGATATAAAGAAACCGTATTGAGATGGGTGGGAGGGGAGGAGGCACAGAATGGGCCAATCCCACGCCCATATGTGGAGGATAAAAATTAGGAGGAATATCTCGGCTGTGGAGGTCCCCCTTATGAAAAAGGGGTCACAGCCCTGAATCAGGTCCCCCAACTCAGGGTTCCAGGGCCAGGAAAGAGAAGTACCCAATGCTTCTGGTTGTGAAAACCAGCAGGGATTGTGGTTGAATGAGACAGGGCTTCTGGAGACCCAGGTGTTTCTCTTATAGCGACCCACTCATGGACTTGGACTCACTGCCTCTGAGTTCCAGCACTGGAGCAGCAGCTTGAAAGGCACCAGTGACATATGAGGAGGAGCTAAACTCTCTGGCATCAGGGAGAGAGCTGGAGGGGCAGTTTTCCAGTAATCCAGGCAGAAGTGTTGGCAGAGGCCATTGTTCTTTTGCTGAGCACCCGACCCTGCCACAGCTGGCACACAGGCACCATGTCTGAGTTTCCATCAACCTGGTTATCATTGTTTCCCCCTCCCTGGAGATTCCCTGAGACCCTGACTCACCACCTTGTGGGCTTACCCAAGCTGTTTCCAGTGGCTTTTCCTCCCAAATGGCCTATCTTGGCTCATGCTTCAGACATTCCTAAAATCCCTGAAACAAACATCTGGTCTCAGGATGCCCTGTTACCTCTGGATAACTGGATCCAGGCCCAGCACTAGTAGCAGCCATCTGCGCATTAGTTTGTAGCTCATGCTGGGTGGCCTCAGGCAGAACACAAGTGGCAACTGGCCTTGGTTAGCATATCCCGGGAGGCCTAGAACTAACACACCCAGTGGAAAGCTTCAGATTGTGTGGAAGCACCACAAGCAACACACTCAAGGGGCAGAATCAGGAGGCACCAGAGCTCCACTGAAGTAAGTCCTGATCCATGGAGTGGGCCCTTGCACAGCTGATCCTCCATGGTGGTTTCAGCCAGTTCTTGCAGTTGATTAGCCTAGGGGTAAATCACTCCCATTGATATGCCAACAGTAATCAAACTTCAACTATAACAGGAGGGTGAACACAGCCCACACTGTGGCAGGGGGTGGTGTGGGTCACACCTGAAGTGCTCAGCTTGGGTGCTACTGGATCCTATAGGACACCTGCTATATTAGGCCACTCTACCAAGCATAGGAGTTGTAGAAGCTCTACCTAATGCATAGGACCAAACACAAGGAGGCTGTCAAAATGAGGAGAAAAAGAAACATGGCCCAAATGAAAGAACAGAATGAAACTCCAGAAAAAAAGCTAAACAAAATGGAGACAAGCAATCTACTAGATGCTGAGTTCAAACACTGATTATAGGGATGCTCAATGAATTTAGGGGAAGAATAGATGAATTTAGAGAACTTTATTAGCATAAAAAAGGACATGGAAACTAATAAAAACCAGTCAGAAATGAAGAATACACTAACTGAAGTGAATAATTTACAGGAAATCAACAATAGAATAGATGAAGCCAAGACTCAAAACAGCAATTTGGATTATAAGGAAGCAAAAGACACCCAACTAGAACAGCAAAAAGAAAAAAGAATCTAAAACAATGAGGATAGTGTGAGGAGCCTTTGGGACACTTTCAAGCATGCCAACATTTGTATCATGGGGGTGCTGGAAGGAGAAGAGAAAAAACAAGATATTGGAAACCTATTTGGAAAAATAGTGACAGAGAACATCCCTAACCTTGTGAAGGAAATAGGCACACAAGTTCAGGAAATGCAAAGAGCCCCAAACAAGATGACCCCAAAGAGGCCTGCACCAAGACACATCATAATTAAAATGCCAAAGTTTAAAGACAAAGAGAGAAACTTATAACAGCACAAGAAAAGAAGTTAGTTACTTACAAAGGGGCCCCCATAAGACTGTCAACTGATTTCTCAACAGAAACTTTGCAGGCCAAAAGGGATTGGCAAGAAATATTCAAAATTATGAAAAGCAAGGACCTACATCTTTGCCCTGCAAAGCTATCATTTAGAATTGAAGAACAGATGAAGGCCTTCCCAGACAAGTAAAAGCTAAAGGAGATCATCATCACTAAACCAGTATTACATGAAATGCTAAAGGGTCTTCTTTAAGAAGATCAAAAATATGAAACAATAACAATGGCAATAAATACGTATCTATCGACAATTGCACCTAAAAAACAAAATAAACAAAGAAACAGAACAGAAACAGACTCATAGATACAGAGAACATTTTGATGGTTGCTGAG